CTGTCTGGGGGTGGCTCTGGGCAGCCAGGGCCGCTACGCCAACGTCCCCCGGGCGCCGGGGCCTCCGCAGGGCCCAGCAGCTCCGGCGCTCCGGCCTCTTTCCCGGCGCCGGGAGCAGCTCCACGCAGCGGAGGAGGGAGCCGGGCCGGGCAAGGGGCCCGTCCGGGAGCGCGAGCGCCGCCGCCAGCGCGAGCCCGTGTGCGGCCCCACCAGGGCGTCGCTGCGGAGCGACGGGGCCGTCGGGGCAGCCCCGGCGCCGCCAGCCGCAGCCCGGCCACGCGGCGGGAGGGCAGGGCCGGCTTTGTTCGCCCGCCGCCAGCCCCGGCCCCGTTCCCGCTCCTCGCATGCCACCTTGAGGCGGCCGCCGCACCCGCGGGAGCCGCCCGGCTGCTGGAGCCGCTCCCGCTCCGCGGCAGACTAATCCCCTTAGGAGGGAATCCCAAGGGCGGGGAACGGGGGCAGCTGATAAAGCGTGCCCTATAATTAGCGCCCATCAGCAGGGCTTATGGAAAGTAGGGCTTGTCAGAAAATTTGGTTTCGTCCTTGTAATTTAAAAGTTTAACTCATAAAGTGAGTGCGTAGCATCRAGCCCTGGCTTCCATGGGGCATTTAGCTTAACAGCACTTGACGTTTTGATTAAAAAATTAGCTCTCTATAATATCAAAGCAGCGCGCTAAGCGGCTGAGGAAGGGCCCGGCTGGCGGGGTCCTGCAGCCGCTGCTACGGGCTCCTGGGGGGCTCCGCGCTGGACGGAGGGGAGCGGGTGCTGCCGGGGGCCGCGATGGACGCGCTCGGGCCCGCACGGCTGGGGCTGGCGCAGAACCCGCTGCTGCTGCTGTGTTTTCGGGCTGAGCAAAGTCCCCTTGTGCTGCATTTYGAGCACATTTCCCTGCTCCCCGGTGCCCCCRCGCTCTCCCTGCGCTCCGGGGGAGCCAAATCCTCCGGGTGAGGGCAGCCAGCCCCAAGTCACGGCCCTCCGGCCTCCGCCTGCAAGGGCGGAACAGAGGCTGCCGTCCTGCGCCGGCCTCAGGTGCAGCCACAGGCGCGGAGACGCCCGGCAGCCCCGCTCACTGCCGAGCCCGGCGCCAGCGGCCGCGTGTGCAGCAGAGCTCCCGCACAACGCGGAGCTGTGCTCCACGCACACCAGCGCTGCGGCCGCGGCACCACATTCTGCTCATGTCAGTGCTGCAGCCGCGACACCGAGTTCCTCTCGCGGCCTCCGCGGCCCCGCCAGGCTCTGCGCCGCAGGTGACCGCTGCTCACACTGGGCTCGGCGCTGTGGGTGAGCGCTGCTCACACCGGGCTCCGCGCTGTGGGTGAGCGCTGCTCACACCGGGCTCGGCGCTGTGGGTGAGCGCTGCTCACACCGGGCACCGCGCTGTGGGTGAGCGCTGCTCACACCGGGCTCGGTGCTGTGGGTGAGCGCTGCTCACACTGGGCTCGGCGCTGTGGGTGAGCGCTGCTCACACCGGGCGCCGCACTGTGGGTGAGCGCTGCTCACACCGGGCTCCGCGCTGTGGGTGAGCGCTGCTCACACCGGGCTCCGCGCTGGCTGCGGCCGGGGTCAGCAGACGATGCAGCCCCCCCGGGGCGCAGCCGGGGCTGCTCGGCCCCGCGGCCAGGCCGCCCCTCAGGACACCCTCTCTGAGCTGCTTTTTTTTAAATTGTTTTCCAAACAGATTTCATGAGGTCCCAAAATGAGACCATGATTGTAAATTAAAGTGTAATTAGCCTTTACGCTTTTATATTCATTAACTCTTCTCTGTTAATGATGCAGAGGCTGGAGCACAAACCCAGCATTATGAAACCACATCCAGGAAATAAAATAGTGATTTAGATAATGGCCGGGATGTATTGGTGCTTACACGTAATTAAACAAATGCTCCATTTACACTGGGAAACACCAACGAGCGCTGATCGAGCCCGCCGGGCGTCCCGCTCGTGCCCAGTCTGCGGGGCGGCCGCGCAGGGTGACGGGTGCGTGGGGCTCCCCGCGGGGCCGGCACCGCCGCGGCTCCCGCTCCGGTTCCGGCCCCGCTTTGTCTCCCTGCTCCGCGCTGCACCTCCGGCCTCGGCCTCAGCCCTGCGAGGCAGCGGTTTCCATGGAGACACGGCCTCCCGCGCGCGGAGGCCCTGGCGGGAGTCGAGGCCCAGTTCGGGCGGCAAAGCCAAGGCCCGGGAAGCGGCTTCCTCGGGGCCCCAGGGAGCGGGACGGCACAGAAGGGCCGAGGGGACAGGGGGGCAGCGCACGGGCGCCGGGGCAGCGCCGTGGGGCGGCAGCAGCTGCTGGCAAAGGGCCCGGGCCGGGCCGCGGAGCGGGGCCATGGCCTCAGCGCCCTGCGGAGCGCGCGGGGCCATGCGCTGGCGGCCGGAGCAGCCGCGGGGCCGCGCGTCGCTCCGTGAACGGGAGAGCCCCGGCGGTCACGGGAGAGCGCCGGCGGCCACGCGTGCTCGGGCGGCACGGCGGGCTCCGCAGCGCGCCCAGGGCTGCTCGGGGTCGTGTGGGGAGCGGGGGCGGCCGGACGCCCTGCCCAGGCACCGGGAGCCCCCAGGGCCGTGGCCGCCTCTGCGCCCAGGTCCGCGGCTCCGGCGGCAACTTCCAGGTATATGATTTAATGAAAGGCACAATAAGAAGTGAAACAATTAGAATTTCTGCCTCATTATCATGGTAATCTTATCAGTCGGATAATGAGGTATTAATGGAGATTTAATGTGCCTCTCATAACAGAATCCCTTGGAGAAAACACATAAGGAAATTGCTGTAAATCCACTTAATGATGGAAAGGTCCCCGAACACCATATTCCAGCGGATGAAAAATGCCGGATGCAAATGAGCGGGAATGAAGGTCAGGAGCGCGGCGGGGAGCRGCCGGCAGCGCCAGGGCGGCCGAGCGGCGGCGCCGCCAGGGGGCGGCCCGGCCCGCGGCGCGGGAAGCGCTTCCCTCAGAAATTAATTTATAAGAATAATGGCAATAAAATAATTATTATTAAAATACTACTAATAAAATACTATTAATAATAAAAAAGAAGAAGAATAGTAAAAATAGTAAGAGGAAGAATAATAAAAAGGGGGTGGTTTCTTTCCGAGCATGTGCTGGCGTCGAAGCCCCTTTTCCTGGAAAAGTCGCCGCTTTAGGGAGTCGCTGTTGGCCGTTTGGGGCATCCTGCCGCTGGACGTGGTTTCCAGCCCCGGCCCCTGCCCGGCCCGCAGCTCCGGCCGTCAGYGCGGGCCGTTCTGCTGCCCCGTGTCCGCTAGCCCGGCCCCAGCGATAGCGGCTCCAAGGTGCCCGGGGAGCGTGCGGCCGCTCCGGGGCTGCGCGTGGGGGCCCCGCCGCGCCCGTGCACAAACACGACACCCAGCCAGGCAACTACTCTCCCTTTAATCAGCTCTTACAGATAACACATTGATAACCACGTGAGAGACAAGATGGGGTTCCTGTACACAAGATTGTGCAAGCTCTTTCATTTCGGTTTGTAAAGGCTTCACCAGTTTCCACGAGGAGAGGCAGTACAGAGCTTGTTGAACAGAGGTAAAGCACAGCTCGCGGGTACAGAACACGCACGGGGAGCGCAGCAGGCGCCGCGCGGGCTGCAGGGGTGCGCGGCGCTCGGCGCCGGGCGCCGTTCCCGCCGGCGCCCTGCGGAGCGCGAGGCCGCACGGAGCCCCCGCCCCGCGCGGGGACCCACCGCCGCCCGGCTTTCTTCCTGAAATCTGTGGCAGTTACATTCAGCGTGGGGTAGTAGAAATTCCTCAAAACAAAAACCTTTAGCTTTAAATAATTAACAGGCCATACATGTTCCAGTTCTCCTTGAAGGGGATAAAAAAAGTTTAAAGAGAAATCTCATTCAGGGTTAAGAGCAAAACAAACTCTTAGAGATGAGAGAACCAGTGTCTGTCTTTCAGTTTTCCACCTCTATAAAAGTACCAGGCCCGGAGATGCCAACGCTCAGCTGGCAGTTCCTCCCTGCTCGCGCTAGCCCCGGCCCTGCAGCCAGCGGCTGAGGCTCCGGCCCCCTCCCACCCCCCCAAACACTCAGCTCCTCCTTCAGTGGCTGAAGCAGCTGCAGCAGAAAGCACCACGTACGGAGCAACAAGTGTGCGCGGCCGCTGCAAGCTTTTGGCAACAGTTCTGGTACGGTTTGGTCCTTTATGCACAGTCTTTTCACATTTACTACAGCACAACAAAACCTAACGACATCACTTCCTAGACATGTAATTTATCATTTTAAAACAAAATGCTATGGGACATCAGGGAGAAAAATATGGTTGACGTCACTGCAAGGTATCTCATTCTTTGGAAAGCCTGACTATATCAATACTATATAGAAGATCTGTAAAGTAGGTTAAAAAGTAAAAGGCAAAGGACCATCCTGCTGTTAAGATTCTCAACTAATCTGGGGCTCACAGAAATACTTTTTCTTAATAACATTTTACTCCAATTGTGTTTTCTACCCATAAAAAAAAAAAAAAACAAGCAGTGAAGGAAATGGGTCTTGCCCTTTCCATAACAGAGCAAATGTGAAAGACCTGATGATGATGATGATGATGATGATAATGATGAAATCCTTCGTGCCAAGTTTGCAAACAAAAGTAATGCACAGGGTAATTGTCAACTTATGTCTTCGTGCCACGTTTCAAACTTAGAATGAGACTGAGACTGATTTAAGGCCAAATATTCTCCTCAACTAAAACCCAAACTACAAGACTAAAGGAACTTTAGTACATTGATCTTAACATCCCATATGTTAAAGTAATAATCAAATATTACCAGACACTTCAATATAAATAAATTTATATTGCTTTTAGATATGATCTGGACATATCTTCAAGGGCATATTTGTGCTTTGCTGCCGAGTGTTATTGGCCAGGGCTGTGCTTGCAATATTAAGTTACATGTTCAGCACCAAAAACCCACCAAGGCTAAATAATTAGAGTATTGCAATGCTACGCAGACTGAGTTACCGCAGTAAGGCAGATTAGAGGAATTTCATTCTACTAAGTATTGCTCTTCTGCACAGTCAAATCTCTAATAGAGGAGAAAGACTATAAATAAAAAAGTTACCATCCCACCCTCTTACCTGTGATTACCTTGGCAGAAATGATATATTGAATAATATTAGAATTCTAGAAATTAAATTTCTTTAACTACTCATAGACAAGTAGCACAGGCAAACTCTAAGCACTTGATGCTTTACCTAAGTTGTTCTAGTTTCAGTTAACCAAATGATTTTCCTAAGTGTCAGTCACTTGTGGGTTGTAATCATCAAATGCACGTACACATGCACACACACAAATCCTTTTTGAAAAGAATGTGAGAGAAAGAACCTGTTCTCCTTAAAGATTTTGCTTCCTTTACCACTCACAGGCACGAAGTCTACACACCGCTCCCACAGAAGTGCACTAAACACTCTGGGAAGAGCAAGGAATAATACTGACAGGAAAGAAAAATAAATGCTTGCTGCGCTTTCTCGCTGTGGCTCTAGGCAAGAAAGGGCAGCAACTGCTTATATACAGGTGACAACCACTGGTCATCACTCAGACTTTCATTCATGAAAAACCCATAGTGTTGTGCATAAAAACTTCTTCAAATTCAGAATTGTCAGTTTAAGGGAAAGGTGGAGTGAGAAATCTATAAAACACCCTGAACTAATGTCATGATATGTTTCATAAAGAACAGTGTTATATTTTAAAATATTTTATATGAACAATAAAATTTGCACCGCTGCATAGCAGACAACACAGAGAACATTTAGTAAAAACATTCACTGAAACCCCTGGCATATGTATTTAATGTCACTAATCAAAATATATATTACAGTCCAAGGTTCTGTTAAGGATCTCTGTTTGGGGTTTGTACAGTATACACAATATTTCAGAAAAAATATTACAGTAAAGTATTTAATATTAGACTTATCTATTGTAACTTACAGTCCCTCTCCTCTATAAATCCAAACCTTTATAACACCCTAATGCCCTAGCCAAAAAGAGTTTAGCTATCTAATGAGCCCTGTCTATTATAAATTCCAGTTTCAGAAATTTCAGTAATCTTAATTACATTTTAATAAATAGTTCGCTTTGCCCTTTTTAATCTTAGCCTTTTGAAGAAGTCCTTCCATTTACCAAAACATATTATGTCACAATCTGTTAGAGGTCAGAGAGGCTTTTGCTTATTTATTCAAAGGATAGTAAGTCCAAAGATAATTGCATTAAATATACTTATATAATATTTACATTGTCCTCTCAGACTTTAAATTTAAAGTGAAATACAATTGATAACTGATGTCAGCTACTACAAACTTTCAGTGTGGCTGGTGTTTTATTAATAAAAGGTGTCTTAAGGTAAAAAGTATACTAAGTGGTTGCCCTGATTTTTGCTTTGTTCAGTTTTCGACTAAAAATAAAGTGAATTAATCATGTGAGTAAGAATTCAAGAAAGGTGGTGGGGAAACTGTGAAGACTTTTTTTTTTTTAAAACGTTTTGAGATTCAAAAATACCTGAAATTTGTGGTCCCTTCTGCAGTGCCAGTATCCACAGGGGAAAAAAAAAATGCAACCAAAAGAGAAGAGGAAAAAATTGTTAAATTAATTTGGTTAGTAAAGGTGGGTTTTTAAAATGTCTCAGTTCTGTACAATATTATACAACTAAAGTCTTCAGCTTTTGCAGCTGTTGTACATTCTTACAGATGCTTCTTCTGCTAACAGTCTGCCCATATACGTACTATTTTCAGTTACTTGCGATCATCAATAGTTTTAATGAATTCAACTGCTGCTGTGAACTGCATCCACCAGTATGATTCTTCTCCAGATAAACAGTTAGCATAGAAACTACTTATGTACTGAACAGTGGACAGCAAGCAAGGTGGATTGGCCTGGGGGTTAAAGAAGAAAGAAAAAGGTACTTACAATTYATTTGCAAACCTAAACTTACAACATTACAAATTACAGCACAGAAATAAAATTCTGCTTGTGCAATGATCCTCACAAAAACTGAAATACACGATTACTTAAGGATGTATGTAGGGCAGGGACTGTYTACACAGACACCTGCAAATCACACACTTAGAAGGCACGAGACTAGAAAGGAGCATTTTTCCGAAAAGGAAAAATGACCCTTTGGACAAGCGTAAAAATTACAGGAAAAGTTGTATTGCTGGAATTGTGATCTTTGCAAGACAGCTCACCTTAATGAGGACAAAGACCAGAACRGGAACAAAATCGTCTGCCCCAGGTACTGAATCTTCATTTGCCAGACTAAGCAAGTTCATGATGGTTGAGCACATTCTCAGAATACACTGTACTTTGTCTCGGGGGGTTTTGTAAGCGCTTATTGTGCGGATTTCAGACTGTGCAGATGGCCATGGGGCTTCCCGGAGATACACCTAGGAAAGAGACACATGTCACCATCTGCAGTTTGTGCAAACTACTCCTGTGTGCTACAGAGGAACTCAAGCACCAGAGAGCAGGCAGGAGGAAAGACTGGAGAACTGGGAAGCTCTAGTGGTTACATGACAGTGAAGTGGCGTCCGGTTGTGATGTAATGACAACCTACAAGCAGACCACACTAACTGAGCAGCTAACAGTTTTTCCCAGGGACTTCTCCAGTACACTGTTTCAAGAGAASATAGATATGTCTCAGTTTTATTCATAACCAGCTTTAGGAAAGGTCACCATTTGGAGTACTGTCTAAGTACTGAAGTGAGAATTCTGAAGGCTACAAACATCCAGTCTCTGGCAGACTTACAGTCACCTACCTGCTTTTAGGCAATGARAAAAGTGAAAATGGCAAATTCAGAGACATCAAGGTTGCACAAATTCTAGGTCCTTCTGAAAGTTAACTTAATGACTGAACTCCAGCCATGGTACATGAATCACATTACAAGCATAAAAGGTTCAAAACTTATCTTTTTAAAGAAAGAAGTTATTAAATCTTACTGCACGTTACTATTACTTTCTTAACCTTACTATAAGGGACGCTGTCAACACAAAGCAGAAAGAATAAAAGGGATGTGGATAGCAGAGGATACTAAAATATCAGTATAGTGCATATCTGTATTTCAGACGTCACAGATAGAAAAGCAGTGCTTTTCAGTGCAAAGAAAACAAACTAACCCTCGCACACCACCGAAAGCCCCCCAACATACATATGAAAGTGAAGGGAAGGAGAAGTTGTTACCTCAGGTATCTGAAGTGCTTTGTGGTTTGCTGTCACGACTTTAGATAACCTCTGTATGTGCTCATGAAGGACCCTGAAAACAAACACACGCACAGAAGGAGTGAGCAGCAAGAAGCAGCCAGGCACCCCAACAGCCCAAACGCAGTTTTGTAAGTACAGCAGTCACTCCACGGGATTTGCCACCACCTTTCAAGTTGCCATATAATAAGAGCGATCTTCACAAATGTATATAATTATGATTATGACTGTCTTACAACTCATGGACAGTAGCTCAACATGAGATGCAGAGGATTTTGCCATATGATCAAATAAAACTACAATTCCAATAGAGCATTCAAACAGCAGGTGGTTATTTTAAAAAGATGAGACAAAATGGAATGAATGAGGCAGATTTTAATCACTCTCAGCAAATATTTGCAGAGCTGAAAGTTGCATCCAAACTCACTACATACAGAATTTTGTTTTAGTAGTTTGTTACAAACCCTAACTTCTACACAGATGCTAAAGTATTTTATTGCTCTTCTACAAACAAAAGACAATACGAGTTTGTAGGGCATCATTGCCTTAGACAATCAAGTCTGTCATATGAAGACAGCATAGCTTCCATCTGTGCCAACTGCAGAACAGAAATCACGTATTTCAATTCCATTAACTTACTGGTCACGCAAAATATCTCCATCCTGATTAGGGTAGAATGCAAGTTTGAAGATACGATTCATCACACTGCGTTCTATAGCTAATTGTGCATCCTGAAGCTGTTCTTCACTGGCATTCTGCCATATGGCATCCTGAGCCATAGCCCCATATAAGAACTGGAGAAAATCTTCAACTTGGGCTGTTTTATCATCTGCTGCTGTGAGTTTCTGGAAATCTGTCAAAAAATTAAAAAAAAAAAAAAAAAAAAAAAGAGAGAGAAGGAGAGAGGGAGAAGGTTTATTTAAATTGAAAAATATTAATTCCAATAGGCGTTTCTGGAAAGGAGAACTCAGAACCCATTTCAGACTTGGTGCCTGGTAGCATGGAAGTTCTGTTTTGCCCCTACCCTGGTGAGGTAAAGAAAAGCAGAAGCACATGAATTAAATGGAAATATAAAAGAGGAAGTGTATAGAACCCATGTAGCAAAGCATATACTCAAAATACTCAATATGATACTGTGCTAATCTATTCCTCTGCAGCACCAATTTTTATACTTTCTTTCCAATCATCCATAGATAGAGACACTGCATCTTTGCAAAGCACTCAGAACAATCTTTAGAACAGCTTCTGGTAGGAATCAATACATACAAAGTTGTACAGGAAAAGAAAAGAGAGATCAATAAAATCAGTGGGCCATTATCTATCCCCACCTTTATTAAAGTAGACGCAGTTGGAAAATTCTTATTTACTTAAAAATTATAGAATGTGTGATACAGCAAAGTTAACACACTGGCCACTCACTTGCTTCGTATTTATAGCAAGAGACAACTGCCACTCACCAGTCAGCAGCCTGAACACATCATAGCTGCTGATTTCTCTTTTAGATTATCCAGGAATAGCTGCCTCCTTTCCATCCAATGAAAGGGTTCAATTACTTCTGGGGTCATTGAATYTCCCTACCAGAACTGTATTTCAAGTAGCCACGACGTTGTCGTGCTAAGTTCAGCCTATTCAGATACATTTAATATGCAGCAGGATATACTCCARAACCAAAAAATGACTCCAAATTTCTTATGTGCTTCATTAAGTCAAGTGTATTTTTTCATGTGGCAGATGCTAGATAGAATGATTTAACCTGACTTTGTTTAGACCAGGTCAGATTACCTTCATTCTCTCGGCCTATGCAGTTAGCATGGCTTAGCTGCTGAAGTAATATTTTATATCTCAGTAATCTGTCCATTTAAGATGTTAGCACACTAGCTAAAACAAAGACTGTTTTAGGAGTCTGCTCYTCCAACCAGAAGTTGTACTTTAAAACATTAACCAGAGAGTCAGGATCTAAATATGGAGTTAAGGAATATAAACAGTCCACAGACTACATTGTTACCTTGAATAAACTCCCTTATTTTCTTTTCTTTGCTTTCTAGCAGTAACCTCACACACACTGTAGTGAAGTATCTATTCGCCACTTCTTTATCTCGCAGAACTCTTTGCAGCAGCCTTTCCAAGTGCGCTTGTGTTGTCTGCAGGCCTTGGCGGCACCGAGTTAAATAAGCAATATAGGGAGCTCTTTTCCTAAGAAGAGAAGTGGTCTACRTTAGACTTAATTCAAACAGAATATAGTAGCTCTATGAATTATTACACTGTAGCTGCAAGAAGAATCTTGAATTTTTGTTTTTAAAATAAAAGTAAGCCCTGAATTAGAAAATTCAGTCTTATACAGGCTTTTCTGTCTGAATTCACTGTCCTTATAACACACCACAATGAAAGATACAAGCAAATTCTAAAAAGTCTGTCTTGTGAGAGCTGAGCATTAGCCACAGTAATAAACTCATGTTAGATCAGTTTATCTGRACTTAAGTTCCAAGGTTTTTAGTCTATTATCAAAAGCAGAAGACAATTTTCTCCCATTGTGGGAAAGTGGAGTTGTAATCACTTGATTTGGTAAAGCATCATTTAAGTCAACAGGGAACCTTTCAATCTGTGAATGGGTAAATATATGCATTTGGAAACCCATTATAAGAAAATACAGAACAYATTACCTGTAATCCTCTGCAATAGATGCCAGCAGCTTTCGACAGGTTCTGTTATCAAAGCGGCTTACGCATCGCATTGTCTCTTGCAGCTGGGCCATCAAATTCTTATCTTGGAGGTTAATAGCTTCAGCTAGTTGAACTTTCAAAAAGCACACAATTTCATTATCTAATAAAAAAATAAGAAAGAGAAATGTAAACAGTGAAGACAGACAGGAGGAAGGGGACAAATGCAACAACACACCCTTGTGTATATATAAAGTTCACCTTCAGGGTCTGTGTGATCTGGTAGACCATTCCTTGTTGAATGGGTCAGCATAGGGAAGGCAACAGAATCTGCAGAACAAAGAGCCAATCTCAATTTCTTCTTTGCATCCCTTAAAAAAGGAAAGATATTTTCTTAATAAAATTGCAGCAAAGACRGTTTCTTCAATAAGCAGTCTTTAAAAATAAATGAATAAATAATGTTGCTTGAAAGTTATTCAACATGATTTTAATATTTCGAGGCTGCTAAGAGCAGTTCCCCCCCCCAAAAAAATTATTAGTCACTGAAATGCTCTCTCTCCTTTCAGGAGGAAACATCCTTCAGTGGGAACTGCAGGAACCGTCTGAGACATTTAGAACTATGTCAGATATGGACACAAAAAAGTTCACAATTACGGAAGACACCAGTATCTGCATTAAGATTTTTGTGGAAATGAATCACACAACTTCTGCTTTTAATTCTACCTTGTATGTGAGATTAAGCATGCTAATATATTTACCTATAGGAGAAAGCAGAACTTTGTGGATGTGCTACTTGACTTGCAGAGTCTGGGAGATCATCCGCAGACATGTTTTGCAAAGCCTCATCACGGGGAGAGTCGTGCATGCTCTCACCATCCCCAATAGCCTCTGTGGAAAAAAAAATGCACTTGTCTAATTTCTCCTATTGTCTCCTCTGTTCTAGCATTCATCTATTTTTTTGTTATAAGAAAAAAAGTCCTCTTAGATAGCAAAATATACAGCTGTTCTGAACAGAGCAAACCAAGTATGTAAAAATTTACAATCTGAAAATTACCACAAGGTACTGCATCAGTTTTGGAGAGCAGTATATTTTGTTCAATTTTCATTAAAAACAAACACATTAATCTATGCTGACAATAGATAAGCTATCTATTAATAAAACAACCATCTCAATGGCAACATGAAAGAGTTGTCCTCAGGAATACTGATTTGGCTAGCACTCTCCAAGAGRCTATTTTACAGGTTAATGAAGAAAYGTTTCTATTGTAGGACTCTACTAATAACTGAATAAACTAATACTTGTGTAGAACATTGAAGTGTTTCTCATCTTTAAGGAAAACAAAGTACATCAATGATTATAAAGCCAGTTCTCACCTCCACTCTCGTAGTTTACTATAGCTCCTTCACTAGGACTGGTTCGCTTAATTGCATTCCTGTATTTGTCCAGAATGTCCTCTGCAGCCTGTGCCTGAGCACTGAGCCTTGGACTGGGATCATCTGAAATGGCAACCAAGGCAATAGGAGTTACCCTTGCATTAACTCTAGACTCTGTTTTCAGTCGCAACAAAACAAATATCTGAAATATCTGCTTGGATTCAAAAAATCACAAATATATTTATGAAAGTCTGAAGTGAAGTCAGGGAAAAAAAGTACTGTACAATCAAAATAAATAAATAAAAACAGATTAATGATATACTTGTCAATTCTGAACACTAACTGCATAGCATATACTTGCTGTAAATAGGTATTTGGTGAGCATTCCAGGACTCCAGGGAATCAGAAAATCATAAAGATCATTGAGTCCAATTGAGGATATGATAGGAAAAAAATAATTATGAAGATATTATTCACATACCTTGAAGTGTTGCATATCTATCGGGCACCATGTCATCTTTGTCTTTTTCTTGTTTTTCTTTTTTTCTAAATGGAATAGGAGCTGCAAGTGCAAGGCACCTTGTTAAAGACTACGTTGAGACTGAAAAAACTATAGGAAACTATAAAATCAAGATGACTGTCATCAAATAAATATCACCAAAACAATAAGCCTGCCTGTGCGGTGGTGGGGAAGCGAACTGTCATCATATGTAACAAGCAATACTTCACAGATACTTCCAGATACTGTATGCTCTACAGTTACTAGGAAAGACAGCCAGGTACTTATTTTGTAAATAAGTCAAAGACTAACTTCCATTCATTCTCTGCTGCAAGAGATATCCTAAATTATTCATTAATTATTAATATTATTCAACTGGCAAGCTACTATCCCTACAGAACTAATACCAGTCCTCAGATAAACTGCAGTGAAGTTGATAGCACACAACTACACTCAACAATTGTCCAAAGAATTCCAGAGTCACCAAATGCTTGACGTTAATGCATTGTCTAACCAAATTTGTTTCACCTTACACACCTCTTTATAGTTACTCTATACTTTATTTCAGTATTTCTCTCTTTACTGAACCAGTTGCAATTTTATAAATAATAATTCTTTATATCTCAAAAGGAAACAGGACAGTTACTCTGTACATCTGGGTCACAGCTATTGAAAGTGATATTAATGTGGTGAAGCAGTAACGAGTTTTCATACAAGTGAATAAAGCATGCACTATTATTAACACTACTATCAGGACATGTTTTACCTTTGGGCATGGCAGATACAAAGCGTTTCCGCCACCATGGCTTGTTTCTGTCAGACTTCTCATCATCACTGTCTTTTCGTTCTTCTATCTGTAGATGGGCAGAGTTTACTTTTAAGTACATACCATTCTTAAACAGTTACGTTATTTTTCAAGTGTAAAGACAGAATTTCTCCTTGACATCTACCAGCTTATGCTGCATCAACTATAAACACAAAATTATATCAGAACACACAGAGCCACAAGTGATTAAGTTAGAAATATGTTCCGAAGAGGATGCCCTATGCATCTTCAACCAAAGAGGTGAAGGAACTTAAATTTAAGAAAGTTGCTTTTTAAAATGTGGCAGCATTATAAGTTCAAACACTAAAACAGACCTATTTTTTAAGTCCTGACTAGTCAAATAAAGCTGATAAAATAAATTTAAGACCATTAGTTTCATTTAAGTCATTCTGAACATGCAGCATTACTGACCAACTTTTAAAAAATGACGAGAGTATACTGATCTCTTGGCTACACACATTTAATATTAGCTTTTGCTGGAATGAAGTATATAAAGTAGGCCTGCTAGGAAGAGAAATGAGAAAGAAAAAAGGAAAAATATAAAGGAGGTGAGGAAGTAAATAGGAGCCTTACCTCTCCTCTAGAGGAGTCCTTACTGGGAGATGAAGATGATGACTGAGATGCAGCAACCAGAACAGCTGCCCCGGTGTTGGTTGTTGGCATAGGAAGATCCCGCTCCTCATTACCGGGACGTCTGTTCCACCCAGGATCACTCATGGGTCTCCGAACTGATGACACTATATCYGAGCTCCTACTGCGAACTAGTCTTTCTGGGTAAGAATGCCTCTGCTTGAAGGCTTCTAAATCAGTTGGAATTAAAGAATGAGACCCAAAGTTTGGTAATCGGGCCTCATTACCTCCCATAGCTCCTTCCAAGATTGGTGGATCTGGTGGTGGGTGAGATGGTCTTGCATAGTGTACTTTAGGTCTCACCACAGCTGATACTCCTGGAACAATACATATAAAAATCTGCATAGGCTTCTTGCAAAATCTTCTCAAATATGATAACACTAACATAGAATCATTGGAAACATCAATCTTTACAGAAAAAGCTTATCCTTTACAACTTACCCTCGTGGGATGACAAAGGGTCAAACAATGCAAGCAAAGAGTCTGTCTGAGAAGGGGGAGATGTCAACTGACTGGCTCCTGAAATGTAAGAGGAAAAGGAAATTAAAAAAAAAAAGTTAGCATTGTGCTAAGAACTACCTACAGCATATAAAAACAGCAGTTAATAACACTTCACAAAATTATAAAGAAATTTTGATATAGAAGGATAGAGTGAAAGAATTAAACCACAAAAGCTTGGGAAATCTCAAAGAGTAGAACAAATTCCAAGTGTAATGTAATAAAACAGAATTAGCAAGAAAAGATCTTAGACCAAAGGGTAAAGTTGTAGAGCTACAATATACCAAAGCTTCTCTATCAAACAAACATAGTACTAGCAAATTGGAAAAATGTTGACTTTCTCAGTCACTAGAGCTTTGAAATTAACCTTGGAGAAAAAGTTTATTTCACTCTCAGCTTCTGTTCCACTTTATTAGAATGTAAAGTTTTTTCTGACATCATTTTAGCCACTTTCAGCCCTCAGTTATGACAGAATCTAATTCTCATTTACACTAAGTACCTTACCATGGGCTGTTTCATCCATATCAGGACTTGTTACAGAATCTTTTCCCCCAAAGTCAGAACTACATTCAGACCTGAGATCCTCAATCTTATTAGGAATGTCTTCAGATGTTGCACTAATACCTGACACACAACAAAAACAAAAAAAAAACAAAACAAACAACAAAAAAAAAGCATGTGTAACTGCCTTTTCAGAGAAAAGGAGACAAAATTCAGAAGTTATGTGAATGCTGCACTGATCTAGTCCCAGCACACAGTAGCATCCAGACATTCTGAAATTCTTCACTGCTAAAATAAGATTTTAGGATGATTTTTGGTTTACATTTTCATCCATTCTAGTAGTCATGAATACACATTATAATGGGCATTAGAGAGATTGTTCATTTTGCTAAATAATTTGTAGAAGGCTAAGAAAGGAAGTACCTAAAAGTAGATATAAATACAAAATAAAAATATCACAGTAAAGTTGTGATAAATAAAAGAAAATTAGGGACCGCTTCCAAATAAACACTTCATTAATAATCATTGCTACTAGAGGATGAACATTTTTTTATCTGATTATCTGATGCCTTTTTCCTCTCCCCACTGCCTATAAATACTTTGTAAAAAAAAAAAAAAAAAAAAAAAAAAGAAGTATGTGTAGCCAAGTTATTTCCTGAGTGAAATTATGCATAACTAAACTAAGTTCAGCAAAATAGATTCTGATCATAAGGAATGTGTTTTCAGAAACAAACACACACACCTGACACAACACTGAGGCCCGGCGTACTGGGGCGAGAGCTGACCTCCCTTACGTCTGTGTCATCAGACGTGCTCCCCAGCCCAGAACAGCTCTCCAGCTCCTGCAGCCTTTCCTCTTGCTTTAGGTCTGGGGCCTCTACAAAGTGCAGACAGGGGAAAGAAGAGAGAAAAAGTATTATTCTGAATGCCACATAACCCTAAAATTCACATACAGAATTCATTTAATATGCTAAGTTCTAGGTTAACTCAACTATTGCAGCAGATAGGACTAAGCACAGCTAATGATGTTCTAGCTGCAAAAGAGTAAGAACTTACCAAAATGCTTAAGTAYTTTATTTTTCAGCTAGAGACAACAGTACACAGTCAATGCTTCATTAACTGAAGAAACCTACTGACAGATGCCACTACCCAACATTACAAGAAAGAAAAGCAGCAAACAGAAATTTGCTTGACAGTCTCTTATTTCTAGGCCATTTAGAAGTTCTTAAACAACTCTCAGTCTCCTGCAATCCTTTCCATCTTCTCTCTGCCTAGGAAGAGTTTGTCACTTTACTTTTAACTCCAGGAGCATTCACAAACTCTATCTTAACCCCAGATACCAGTTTCTCTCTAAGAAACATGCAGAGAACCTCATTTTGAATTATACATCTCTTGGAGAGTTTTGGTTCAACTGAAGACATAAACAAACTGCAAGATTCTGACCTGAATCACTTGGTAATACTTCCACACTCCAAGCTTCACTTGTTGTTTCTGATATTGTTGAACCTGTGCAGGGATCGAGCAGCACAGATCCTGAACCTGGTAAACACAGCAAGCTGCCTAACATGTTCTCTGCAGCTGCACCTGCATAAGTAAAGGGAATGCACAGAGTTAAGAATATRCTTCCATAAGACGGTGCTGATATTAAAGATCACATTAGAAATGTCCTTAATAAAGTAATTAAGGAAGACAATGTTGAAAAAGGACACAAACCTAAAATCCTCCTAAAGAAAAGCTCCAGTTTAACCAGTGAAAACACATTTATTTAGAAAGAAAGTAGGGCAGCTCTATAGCCTGACAGTTTTACAGCAAGCAAAGTATTTTAACATATCAGATGTACCACTAAGTTACCTGCAATTTCTTGCAAACGATCTTCATCAATATTTGGATCAAAGTCACTACCCAAGACATCGGTACTCCATGTTTCGCTCACTGTTTCCGATATATCTCTGTCATCGGTCAACCCCATCATATCGCGGATTTCAAATTTGCGAAGCTTGTCATCAAGGTTATCCTGAGTTGTGGCTGCGTAAAAATAAGAGGTTCAATTTCTCAAAAGGGTTTTCCAAATAGTTTTAGTAGAAAATCTGTAAGAGTACATTTYAGGGAGAGAAAAAAAAACAAACCTCAACTAATTCTGCCAGACAAGATACTGCTTTAAAGAAAGGTGACTGCACTACAGAGAACCTTCTTTTTCCCCCCTGACCTAGACAGTTTTAAATCTCYTTTTCCCTAGAATTTTGCACTCATGATCTATAGCACCTCATGCACTTCTACTAGAGAATTTACACATGCCTTGCTCATGTTCCAACAGCTGCAGAGCTTCAACACCATTGCTCCCAGAAGGGCCTGCACCAAGCTCCGATACAGACTCCCCTTCTAAATCCAAAGATGATACAGAATTGGAGCGATTTGAAGGACCTGTGAAAAGAGACTCTACTATTAATCTAATTTGAACAACATTTSCCAGACATACAACATTTAACAAGCCAGGATACAATTGGCTAAAAAAAGATAACAAGAAGTGAGGTAATTCCTATATAAAATACTGAGCTGACGATCTTGCTATTCATCATATTTTCTGAGTAGTTCACTATATCAAGATGAAGATATGTTTTGTCCCCTCTTGATCCCTACTTCACACTCACCTATACTGTAGTTTGCAGTTCACACGTTCAGAGTGCCATGCTAGTTATACTAATGTACAAATTAACCTACAAAATGGAATCTCATCATTACCATATCGATCTTTAAATCTGTCATAACCTAACTATGCCAAACTACAAACCTTAACTCTAAACTTTTCCCTTTGAAGGGCTAACAGAAAAGACAGACTCTCAGGGTTAAATAGCACAACCTTTAAAATAGCAGAGATGGCATGCTGCATTTAACAGAAGCTCCTTTTATAGTTAAAAAATGCTAATGGACAAAACTTCTTCAAGACTTAAGTAACCCTTCACCTTCAGATATTCCTTCCAGATTATCACTGCAGAGGGAAAAGCGCAAGGTTTTATCAGGTTTACCATGGAGTTTGTTTTCATCAACAGGGACATCTCCTTGTCCGCCTTCTGTAAGCTGCATATTTAAGACCTGCAAAGGGGGTCAGGGGTGAGAAGGGAAAAGAAAGAAAGCTTCCTTAATAATAATTTTTTACGATCATTTAAACGAAATATTGCACTTAAACAAAAATCTCTAGATATTAATCATACAATCATTTTTCTACTATTTCATTTGAATTTCATTTCTAAAGTTAGAACCTGGAGGGAACATAYGATAACCAGGACAGTCCTGATGACAATCGGACCAGTAGCTCACTCAACCTCACAGTAATCTAATATTATATGGAAAGGGTCCACTGCAAGATCACTCAGGACACGAATCCAAACAATTGGGTAAGGCAGAAAGAAGATGAAAGTATAACGTTCTTCTATGGCTGGTGAGAGAAAGACTGTAAAACAGCCTTGCAGCCATGGCAACCTAACAGCTCTATATTCCCAAGAAACTAGGTCTGGTGCTTCAAATCTGAGCTGCCAAATATCTTGGGATCAGCATTGCGATGCTTTGTCATGCACCTGTGCCACACAATCCAATAGAAAGAGCATGCAGAGAGCTAACAGAGTCTATATATTCAGCTTCAAAATATGGGCCCTGAAGTGACAGCTCAAGTTGGCTCTTAAGTATGTTGGAGGGTTAAGCCTCTCTGCAAATTGGCCAGATTTGGGTTTTTCCACATTAACAGTCTTCCACACTCTACAGATACGACATGTGATTAAATGAACTTGTAACCATGGTCAGTTTGAAAGCTAAAATCCCCAAATTCAATAAGAGCAGCTGAGGATTTTAATTTCTATTCCATGTTTAATACCTAACTTAAAAGTTACAACCTCATTGTTCTGCTGCTGGAGAGTATAAAGGCTATACTTTCCGAAATATCTGGTATTTGATAATTTTTCACATACCTCATTTTCTGACATCATTCCTGGAGTAATCTGTGGGCCTGTCCCCAAAGAAATCACAAGCACTTCTTCCGGCTGAACTTCTGGGATAGTCTCCTGGGAGGATCCTTCATGGTCTCCATGCTGATCCATTTGAATATTTGATCTACTTCTGCTACGAGTTGCTAAAGAAAATATTTTAAAATGCAAATGTAAGAAAGCTGTTCTTTTTTTTTTTTCTCCTTAAAAAAAAAAAATACTGCAAGGAGAGAGGAGAGAAAAAAAMCCAAAACCTACACACTACAAGAAATCAAGACCCCTACGCACAGCAGCACGATATCAGTTCTCACACAACAGAGACACAAAGTATTTTTAAAAACTGTGCATACACAGAAAATGATTTTTATACTGAAATGAAGGAATCTGAAAAAGCAACTGACTGTCAAAGTAAACCAAGAGCATGCCTAAGGATCAGTCATGTGATATAAATACAAGTTTTACACAAAGAATGGAGAAAGGGTATTACCCACCAAAAGGGGTTACTAGAGTTATATGAGCTGAAAGATTGGTAGCTGAAGTATCCCAGGCAGTAATGGCTGCCAATTGCTGTCCTGGATTTCGAAAGCATTTAAAATGAAACAAAAGAAATCAACCATTACTTTCCATGTACTTTCCATGTACTTTATAGGCATAAAATCAAAATATTCAAAAGTGAGACACAGTTAGAACGATATATGATAGAGGTCTTGTTTGGTTGATCTTTGTCATTTATCAAGTTGTATATATTTTGGTCATGTGACACTAATATCAAATCCCTCAAGAGAACAAGAATGTTCCATGTCATCATGTTCCCATAAACACATATGGCAGAAGAGTATCACTTTCTGTTGAAATGGAAATGCTCAATATCCAGAAACCCTATTCAAAAAGAAGACTAAATAAATAAAATATTGCACTACCATATACTAACTACTGGAATTAAATCTTACATGTCATCCGCTTTCCAAAAGGATTTCACAATTCTCCTTACCTATAGGTAACCGATTTTTTTTGTTGGCTGGAGTGGTTGCAGGAGAGAGCTGTGGGGTATTATAAGGAGTCATTTCAAGGCTGCTGCTTTTCCCTGGTTTATTCTGTGGTAAGCTTGCCAACAGGTTTTCCAGAGCCATCCGATCTTCCTTGAGTTGGTCACTTGACATTACATTCCGCATAAAGCCCACCTACAAATTTAGAATTATCACTGATAAGAACTGCAGCCTAAATTGTCAGACTTGATTATCCTATCTACAAACACATGGGAGATATATATATATACATATATATATATAAAATATATAACACATATAATATACATATATATGTATAAAAATATATATGTGTGTTTGTATATATATATTTTTTATTTCCCTTGATGAATTAAAACATTACCAGAGTAGTTAGCTGGCTGTATGTCATGTAAACCACTGTTCTACTCAACCCCTCCAGAAGGTTAACTGAGGACAGTGGAGGAGTTTCAACTGCACGTCCATCAATAACTACATCCAAGAAAGCAGCAACACAGCTCTGCAAAGAGAAGAAATAGTTCTGCAATAAGACACTATTTACTAGAGTTTGAAAGGAATACAATTCATGGCAATAGCTGAATAGTTTACATAATGATCTAAGTTTTGCTTACTACTTTTAAGGTCAAAGGATAATACGTGTCATTAAAATCACCAAAGACCAAGCAAGGAAAGCATGCAGTTAGTTGTAGCATTTCCTTCACTGCTTTTCTGCATTCAAAATCTGTGAGCAACTTAAATGTTCTTTATAAGATTAAAATACAAAACAAAAAGTTTCATTTCACAACAGCAGTTTCAGATGTTAAACTAAGCTGCTTTATGGTAATTAAACTACCCCTTCCTGAACAAATTGCTGAGCCCAGCCAAAAAGCAAAATGAGAAAGCAACAAGCAGTATCACTTTTAAACTCACATCTGACAACATTACTTGTAAAAGGAATGTATAACTTCCTTTACTTTTTTGCTAACTGTAATTCTGCAATATTCACAAACAAACTAACAGGGTTTAGTATGTCCGTACATTAGGAAGTATTGTTCACTGTTCTCACAAAGTTAATCCCAGTACTACTATGGATGATTCATAGTAAAATAGGAAATGCTGAACAAAAAGCAAAACTATACAAAAGGAACACAAGCTCCTTGTGCTAACAAGTTACTTTTTTTTAAGTATTTAAAAAGTTGTCTTCAAAATGGTTTTATTTTTAACACGTTCAGAGAAAACAGTAATTCAGCATCTCAGTTTAGAAGGTAACATACTTAGAATTATTAGCTTTTTTCCGTAAGTATTAGGTCAGAGCAGAAATATGAACCCCTGACCCTGAATTCCAGAACTCAGTATTTTGTTCCTAGCTCTGTACAGGATTTCAGCTACTTTTCTGTATATGTAGCTCATAAATAAGTTAATTAAGAGAGAGAGAGAAAAAGAGAGAGAAAAGGCTTATCCTTTTCTAGTCTTGATTCTTACTTTGTCAAATTTAGCAAGGTTGTTCTTCATACGTGGATCTCCCTCTTCAGAGCCTGTCATTGCTAATTGCTGCAAAAGTCTCCCAACCTGAAATCAGAAAGAACTATTAAGAATACAAATTTCAAAGATTCTATTATAGAAATAAGTTAAAACAATGTTTCCATTCCCATTTTCTTTTTTTTTCTTTCCCCTCATTTAATATTCCTGGTTGGGTGGACATAGTCTTGCATATGCTTTTAGGACAGGAAAAAAAAAAAAAAACACACGCACAAAAGGTTTAATCATTTAATCTTCCATTCTTCACAGTAGCTTCATAATGTAAATTTGTAACTCTTAAAAAACAAACAAAATGCATGCTCTCAAAATTTCTAAAAGAAATCAAACACTTTTTTTTAGATGACTCATACCTGCATCAGATTAAATCTTGCCACCTCGTTTATAGGAGCATCAGAAATAATCCCATACTGTTCAGGGTTAACAATAGCAGGACAGATGAAACATGCTAGAAGAAGATCTGTGCACATTGCTCTGACCTCCCCAACTTCCAGTCTGTCTACACATGAGAGGGTTTTGTACATCTGTGACACAATCCATCTCAAGCTGTGTGGAAAACAGTATGTATTTTGTTTGAGATAACCAATGAATTTGTTCACCAAGGTCACCAGCTTTGCCTCGTTGGAGTCTACCATCTCTTGCACTCTTTGCTTGAACTTTTCTGTGCCTTTCTCTCCAAATAACTTCTCTTGTTGTACTGGAGAGAATCTCTCAATTAATTTGTTTGGATCAGTTTCCAGGTGGTCTTCATCTTCAACCAGAAGCTGCATGATTGGCTCATGTAAAGTTGCAGTAAGAAAGAGTTTCGCAGAAAAGAGTCCTTCAGAGAAAAGCTTGAATAAGATGCTGAATGCACAGGTGCCTCGTCGCAGCAGCCGCCTGGGGTTGTCACTCTCCTTGAGTTCAAATTCGATCAGGTAACGAAGCACCTGTAGGAGGTAGCTCTCATCTTCCTGCATGATGCAATTGCCATAGATGGAGGTAAAGACTGTGTGAATGACACTCTGAGTGTTGTCCTGGTTCAGCTTCTCTCCAGCGACCAGACAGGATGCAATAAGCCTAGGGTTTTCTCTCAACCTGTTTAGGAATTCTCCATAAGCAGTTTCCTGAAATCCCAACTGCTTATATCCATCCACAAACTGGGTATCTTCCAAGATCTTAGCGTGCTGGCAGCATTCAGCTGGAGAAGCTTCAGCACTTGAAAGAAAACCATTGAAACAGTAAGTAACTTTTAAACCAAATAAACTTGCTAAAAGATGCCACATGGTRAATCAATAAGAGGATTATCAAGGAAAATAGCTTCCCATATAATAAATATGGGAATATGAATAATTTGCAAATTCAAGAATAGGTTTATAGGAACAAACATGACTTCGAACAGCATATACTGAAAGGAAYTTCAAAGAACTAACATATAAGTTCCAGGAGAGTCAAATTTCCTAGTTTAGATTTTTTTAAAATCTTATTATTTTTAAAACTCTTATTTAAAACATTATTATTATTATTAAACCTTATTAATACAGCACCGCACTCCAGATACTAAGTATAAAGTCGGATAAATTTACTGCAATTCACAAAAGTTCAGGAAGCTGTTTCCCTCAGCCCCTCTCTACACACCCACCCACAGTCACCTGGTTATGATAAGCCTGTCCAAGTTAATCCTTTGCTGCTTGGAAATCCATGCTGTGCGGTAGAGCTTTTCAGCTGTCTTCAGTACATCTGCATTGAGCCTTTGAATAAGTTGCTTTTCTGAGTTTACATAGAGTCGTTCTTGCTTGAGGTGATGAGCCAGCGTGTGAATATCCAGCTTCACCATCTTTGACAACGAGCAGATTGCACAATATTCACTGAAAGAGAGAAAAAAATATATAAAGGTGAAGCCCATTAATTAGCAAAACAACTACTAAAAGCCCCAAAGCAACTAGCAGGTTATAAGCTTACAAAAAAAAAAAAAAAAAAAAAAACCACAAATACTTCTTTCCCCTTCCTTATTAACATAGTACTATTCTCTCTGAACTCACTGGCCCATCTCCTAATGGCCGAGTCACTCTTTCCTAACGCTGAATTTCATAACTGCCCATTTCATTAAGCACTTGTCATACCAGCACGCAAGGGACACTTGCACATTACTGCATATGTTCAGCTCAGGCTCCTCAGGTGACAAAAGAATGTAGTGCAATGCTTCCAAACTCTTGCGCCACAGCTCCAATACACAAGACGAGAAACTGGTGTCACTTGGAGAGGGGCAGCCCTGGGTACAGCTTGGGTGACACTCAAGCTGGGCAATGAGCCTGTTCTGACACGCTGCCCGGTGAATAGCGAAAACACTCTGCGAGTTACTGCCTTGTTCTAACGTACTCCCCATAACACAGCCAGTATTTGGATGTGGTTATCTCTAGTCTAYAAGAACAAAAAGAAATGTCCTCTCTCATCTACACATAAGAGATCCCAAACTCTTAAAACACTAATTAATCTTCTTCGCTGAGAGGCAGAAGCATCAAAACCCAGGCAAGCCCAAAGCTTAAAACAAGTCTGACGCCTTTGCCCAACTCTAGAATTATTCTGCAGAAAATATGCTCAAACATTTCAGCTCAGAAGAATGTTTCTAGTTCATGAACCAAAAATGCACTTTTACAAACAAACAAAAAGCTAAAAATAAATAAACTGAAACAAACTTAGATTTTCCTAACACATCAGGGGCAAAAAGATAGAGAAACCACCACTATGTCTCAATGTAGCATCAGTTAACTCCATAATTAGAAAGCATCTTGGTTACCAATTAATAGCACATAAACAGGGAGCATCACACCATTGAAAACAAGTTCAAGGAGCTAGTCTGTCTAAAAATTAACTCTACTGAAGATAAAAAGAGAAGGGCTAGAATTGTGTAGATCAGATTATGTTTCTATGGAATTAATGATTAGTTGTTTTATAGGTACATTCACCACCAGAATTAAAAACCATACTGGATAATTTAGGAGGGAAGAGTTTGCTATGTAGACATAATTATGCAGGTCAAAGCTGTCAAGTGATCTGGTGATAAATTCTTAAAGCCAGGCTACAGTTAAATGTAAAAACCTTCTTTTCACAAGCTGTAGTTATACTCATGCAGTTACACCTTTCTAAAGATGAGATTAGCAAAGAACTTCAAGGATACGGTAATTTAGGTTTCTTTTTAAACCGTGCCAATCTCAGATAAACAGAAACACTGATGTGCAAGCCAAAGTTCTCTCAGAAAGAAATGAGGACTACTTGCAACAGACTTTTTCCTTAGTCACAGAACTTTGAAAATACATGACCATACACAGAAAATATCACTAGCAAAGCCTATTACCATGTTTGCAAGGCAGTATAGGCTATTAGATTTAGCTCTTGATATTAGCAGGATACATTCATACAAATATACATGCTAGTAAAATCTGCAAAAGTATTTTCTATTTATTCAAAATGCTTTTCACTGTAAGGCTCTACCTAGAACTTTTTCACAGTTTACCAAGTCTTAACAGTTTTAGCTGACATTTCCTGCTTTAAGGTGTCTGTCTGAAGGCTGCAGTTTTCTGGATAAGAAGATGGTCCACGTAGTTGTCCATTTGAGAGCAAATATCGGAAAGGAATGAGGGACCTGTATGGTGTACCCCTGCCTGGTGACAGCTTGAGTTCCTGTATTTTCATAATAGACAATGTGAAGGTAAGTCTCTAGCCCTGCATCATTCACTATAAATGCAATTTTTAGCAGGTATACCAAATAATTTGTTCCTTAGTGTCATACATACTCACAAGTAAAGTTGCTTCTCTTGTAGAAAGTTTCACTCAGTGTCACTTTTTAATAGTAAAGTTGTTTTCACCATCAAGCATGGGCCTACAAAATAGGCTCAGAAGACTACTACCACCTGCATCCGTACTGCTAAAAATACTAGTTCCACAGCTACTTGATAATAGCTTATGAATGTGTCTATCTTATCTGTTTGTACTGCAGAGAACCAAATATAACACAGGCAAGAGAAGACTCGATTTGGAACCGAAATGTGGGAGGTCAAGAAGTACCACTGCATTGTTGAGAACTGAAGTCCACCGGGCAGGACASCGGCTGCAAGACAGCAGTTTGTATCCTATGTACAAGGAAAAAAGAATCAGTAGCTACTACGTTTTGGAAGCCTTTCTGCCCCCATTCACTTCCCCAAAAAGGCCCAAACTAATTTGACTGCTACTGAAACCCTCCGTCTACAGAAGACAGGTCCCTCATTATCTCTCATTCACCAGATGTCCATATAGTCTTGTGAATTCAGAATAACTCATAAGAACAACAACAACAAACACTAGAGCTGTGAAGAAGTAGATAGCTTAATACATCTAGTGCTTCAGCAGGCTTCACACTGGCTCTAGAAAAAAAAAAAAAAAAAAAAAAAAAAAAAAAAAAAAGGAAAAAAAGAGAAAGAAAAGAAAAAAGAAAAGATGACAAAAACATGCAGCAAAAGTCAAACCAGTTGACCGAGACACACATGCCGCTGCCGCTGCTCAGATAGTGGTGGTATTGACAGCCTTATCTTGAAAGGCCAAGCCACTGTACATTAATACATCTGAATGACACATCAACTCCTTTCAAAGAGCTCTTCCCTTTATGATCTTTAATACTTCAACTATTACATCAGTTGCACACTCTAACTTTCACCATCCCACAGAGTAAAAAACTTATCAYAATAATTGATTTTTTTCACTTCATGATGCTCCAGCACATGAGCAATAAAGACTGAGCATTGCGTGACCTGACAGCACCTACGATGGTTTTTCCTACTGACAGAAGCTTGTTTAGAAAACCAGATAATCAGTGACTTTAAGCAATTTACATCCAATGTTTTCAAGGTCCTAAAAAACACTACATTTAATCTTCAGAGACCAAACTCAAGATTACAGAGCAAATGGTTTTGTACCATGGCATACAGAAATGAGTGGCATCTCTATTAAATATTTCTGCAATCCACTTCACAGAAGGAGAGATTAAGCATAGTAGTAAATACTTCAATACACCACATTCTTCTTCCTCCTTCAGTATTTCCTGCTCAGGGTTATTTGCTCCTCCCCAGTCAAGCTACGCAGGATTCAACTTCCAGAGCAAGTTTGGGCAGATCTGACGCGGGCAGGGCAAGGCACGGCAAAACTGAAATCGCTGTGTCTTATTTTAAAAAAGAATTCCTAATCAAGCTTCAATACCTTCCATGCTAATTCACCCCAGATGAAAGCATCTGTCTTCATTAATATTTATAGTAACAACTAACAAGCCTTATTTGTTTATATAAGCTACAGCATATCTCCTGAAGTTGAGCTCAAGAAATTCATTTTTCAGTACGACAGTTCACCATGAACTGGGCTTTATCTGTGGAACTCTCCAGTTAAACTTGCACCATCTCAAAACACRCGTACAATATGTAAATACATTTCAATTAGTTATCTCTCAAACTGATGTCATATTTTTAATCACTTAAACTCAGTCTCTTCTTCATCCAGAATCACCTCAAATCCAGAGCCCACCATAGAGAACTCTGCTGTGTACCGGGACAGTGTATACCCTTTAGGCCCTGGCCAAATTTTACGTGGCCAAAGGCCACAAGACCTTGGAGAGTCACGGGGAAGGAAAGCGCACACAGAGCTCTTACTACAGACGGGGCTGTACGGGGCAGCCACTGAGACCCAAGGCCAAACAGGGCACCAGCATCACGGGCACCAGCCAGCTTCCTTCCTTCCTCCTACGCTTCAGGATTTAGACTGAGTCTGAAACACAAGAGACTTAATGCAAATATAGCCCTGGATCTATGAAAGTCACCAGAGCATAACTCCGGCAGTTCCACATTGCAATACATCATCTAGATATTAACCATCTCTTTGCTGTTTCTTCTTTCTTATTTCACCGGCATGAAACTACTATAACGTCCTGCAGCAAGAACTTCTGGGGAAAGTTTTTCAACAAATGCTGGAAGATGTTCAGTATTTTGGAGCCCTCCCCTTGCAGYAGCAGTCTAGAGGCCTGTTTCCAGAGGCAGAAGCCATCAGCCTGCCGGTCGTGCTTTTGCTGAAGCGCAGGGTGTGAGATCTCATAGGTGGTCCTCGCCATCCCCTCAGCACTGCCTTCCCCGGAGCTTCCACTTGCGGGACAACCGCAGCTCCCACAAGCAGGGTCCTACCTAACGGCAAACGCAGCAGCCCGCGCTCGCCTGGGGAGCTAGCGTCAACGGCAGGGAAAGCCCTCTGCCTTCAGAGGGGATCGTGACTCTGCAGGAGAAAACGCCGCGCCGCGCTGGGTCACGGCGGTGGGCGCCGCGGCTGGCGCCGACACAAAGGAGGAAGCGGCGCGGGCGGGCCGCGCTGACACCGGCGCCCCGCTCCGCCGCTGCCCCGCCGCGCGAGCACGAGGGCCGCGCCAGCCC